AGGGTCAGGAATATTGAGATCAATAGTTTCAGAAAACCTGTCAAGAGGTGAGTACATGGTATATCAAAATTTGAAAGAATGAAACGTCTATGTTCTCCAATCAGTGATTGTGCTTAATAGTAAACTTCACAGCTTAGATAGACCAAAGACTAATGCAAACAGACAATATTCACATATGAAATCCATCCTATTAAAAAGATGGAAAGAATGTGACTAAAAACTCTACCTCCTCAGCTCTGGCCATGGGTTATTTAACCGAAGATCATCCAGAAAATGATCGGGCTTTGACTCAATGACAGTATGCTCCTGATATACATGGATAAAATATCTTATTTTAGCGCCCTTGACTATATACAATATTTTATCTTTTGAAACCATGTAGTAAACACTTATTTAAAACATTAAAACTGTTTGTGCAAGTGAACCATATTGAAATATTTGTGACAGACAAGACCCCATTAGACATTAAGTAGCTTATATATGGGACTCAAAGAAGTGACAGTTAAGCTGTTTTACGTCAGCAATTTACCATTTCAACCTGCAAACGCTTTTAATCACGAGCCTCTATTTCTCCAAGTTCAAGCTAAGCATCACAACTAGTTATTTGATATTAAGCCGGAATTCAGGTAAATATACATGATAATTGAAAAGTACAAGTTTAATAAGGGCTAGTAAAGGATCCAGATTAGTCAAATATCATGTGTCAGGCATTTTTTTCCCCAGAAATGGTAATATAAATACTTTGAACCCTTCTATGCATACAACATGATTATTTCTTTGAATTGGGTAATTGATGTAGCATTAGCAATACTTTACCTTTAAACTGATTCTGACAAGCCCAGTGAGGCCATAGGAGCGTGCAACGACCAATATGACATTTGCGTTCCTACAGATTTTATCTAGCTTCACAATCCATTCTTCAACCAACTGAATAAATTCAAAGTGTCCATTAAAAGGGCAATTCAAAGTGTACATTAAAAGGCAATTCAAAGTGTCCAAATACGACTTTCTTTCCAACAAAACCTTAGAAAAAAAATATTCCATACCATGACAAATTACAGAAAACGAGTAACCAAAGAAAAAACTCACTATTTAACAAAACCAAGAACAGAAAATTGGAGTTTGTGCACTTTCCGCTATTGTTGAGGCTTTCTAAGCATGCCAACTACACAAAAAAAAAACTTTAACCTTTTTACCAACCATCAATTTGCTAATAAGAGATTTAACCAAAAAGCATCCACCGTAAAGGCTTGAAGTGGTTATATGTTCCTTAGATTACTAATTTTCAGGGCTAAAAATATCTCCCAACAAGAACCCTTTGAGTAACATTGTTAAATCTATGACTCGAGGAATTTGGTATGAGAGTAAGAAAGGCATCTCTTATGGAAAAACTTACCCTTGGGAAGAAAGCTTTGAGCTAATCAAGGTTCATGCAGTTTTTCAGTGTGCCACTTCCAAAACTTTCAAAAATTATTCACTCCTTGAAACTTTTTAGTTTCTTATAAATAATAATAATTTTACAAATGCAACTAAAAAGAAAACGACACAATCCAAGTGATGCGAAAACAATTACACAAAGGACATGATATAAGAGATGACAGGCAAGAGAAAAACCAAGAATTTCAGCAAAGAGGGGCAACATCAATTGAACTAAGCATGTATATCACAGTACCTGTGTGGCAACTACTAATGTAAACTGTGAAAAGAATGATGGCCTTGTTTCAATTAATGCCTCCGGACACTCTTCTATAAACTTAGCTTTCACAGCATCATTTAGTTCTTGAAGAAATGCACATACACACTTCGCCTTTGACTGTCCAATACTAGATTCATCCACTAGAAAAATAATCACACAAAACAAGATAAGGTTTAGTTGATAAACCATGTTTTTCTTTCCTAACAGAAGTAGTTATAGCTCAAAAGTATTGATTAGTATTGAAGTAGATTATTCAAGTACATACGGACAGCAGATTGGAAAGAAGATTCATTTTATTGTTGACAGAATGATTTTTCAAAAGATTATTATGGAAAGGCAATTCCAGAATTCTAATTGATAGTCCTCCCGAATATTCAATTTAACTTCAAATTTATTGAGCAATTTGAATTATGAGAAAATATCATTCGTAGGTCCATAGGCAATTGCCAATAATCGGGCTCCATTACCAAAAGCAACAGTGACATATAACTTACTTACCCATGAAGTTGTTGCCAAGGTCGCCCTCTTCTATCTTGGTACCGTCGACTAGAGTGATGCTTCCAATCCCTCCAAGTACTAGATTTTTCAATGTCTCGGAACCAGTAGGCCCGCAGTTGAGAAGGCATATACTCGCTTTTTCAAGGGCTGCCTGCCCTTGTTCACCCCAGATCCTACGATATTACGGGATAAAAGCTTTCAGAACTTAAAGGTAATAAAGATGATTAAATTTAGTCGAACAAGTTTGCTAAATGATAAATTTGACCCAAAAAGAAAGAAAGAAACACTCTAGGTAACCCATTTCTCCATAGAGATAATACTGCAAGAACCAAGTTGCCGCAATGATGTGAGTAAAACCTAAGCTCCGATGTAAATTCATTACTTGTCAACTTACCGACAAACTATATATCGTCGAGCAATATATAGTTACAATAAAAGAAAATATATATATATGCAATCACGAAAATTCCAGCAATTCCTATAAAGAAAAAAAATGCCAATGGTTAATTATAGCGGGAACAGCTGCTGGGTAACTACGACACCAAGAAACTAAGAAGTGCGCGAACTTTGTTTGCGCCAAATGCGGATTAGTTCATAAACATATGCGCTTCTTTTCTTTCACTGGACGAAAGAACAGATAAACCTAAAGATAAATTAGCGATAGAAGAAGTACAGACAACTTGAAGGTGGAGTATGCTACTGGTACAGAGTTAGGGCAAAAACGGAGCAAGAAGATAGAGGCAAAGAATCGAAATATGAAGAAAAGTTAAAGATGGAGGAATGAGGAAGGTGTTAGAGAGAAAATGAGGAGGACCTGAGTTGGCGATCGTATTTTACTTTGGGCTCCGCCATTTTCTTTGCTTCGCGCGCTCTGTTCTCCCTCTCTTGTTCTAGTCTTGTTCCTCTGTCTGGAAGTGTCAATGAGCTTTCTAAATTTGCGTGGGAACGACGCAGTGAAGACTGAATAAGTTATTTTTTTATTATTTAATATAAACGAAATAAAACAAGGAGAACAAATACGGAGGACGACGAGGACTCTATACGTCGTCGTTTCCAATAATCTATTGCTAATTCCTTTTCCTATTTCTTTATCACGATTTTGCTTTTTCTTTTTCTTTTTCTTTTTATCCCATAGGAAAATTTGAAGAATAATGTATTTTTTAAAAAAATAAATAAATAATTATTGTGTTAAATACAATTATTGTTTTAAGCTAAATTTAAAAACAAAATTCAAATGAGTATAAAATAAATATTAAGTTTCAAATATAATATATTATAAGTATTTTTAAAAAGCCATATAGAAATGTTGTTTTTCACGTTGTTTTATTATTTAATATCTAAAATATAGTAGATTAAATTACCAATTTAACTTATAAATTTTTTAGGATAATTTTAGGTTTCTCTTTATTCAAATTTAGTTGAGATTTTAAAAAATTCATTTACCAACACAAAATTGAAATTTTTAGGTTCCAACAAAAAAAAAATTAACATTTATATCAAATAAATGAATTAGTTCTTACAAACATATATATTTATATTTATTATATATTGAATTTGACAATAACAAAAAAATATTGAATTTGACACAGACACTATTTATTGATGTTTGTAAAATGAATACAGATATTTCATTGTTGCTTATTTATTGACATTTTAAATTAATACATATTTCATTTTAAAAGAATACAAATTTATTTATTTATTTATTTTGAGAAAGATTGTAAAAGGAAATTAAAACAATAGGAACTAGAAAACACCGGATCTACTTGAATTCAAACAACATAATAGTTGAACTATATATCAATCAAGCTACAAATTATCATCTCAAAAGTTGATGGTTCGATTCTCAACCCTATAATAGTTGAACTAAAAAAAATATCAACAATGTAAACTTACAAAACGCTATTTCATTTACAAAATAATAGACTATGGAAAAGTCGATCATTTGTCAAACATTAGCCTAGAATAGCAAGAACAATATTTGCAAAAATTGAAATGACCATTCAAGTCGAAATTATAAAGATGTTAGAGATAGGACGTTCATCTGCATATAATTCAATTAATCTAAGTCATCACTTACCTTTCCTGTGTTGTGCTTCGATCTCCACACCTAATAAACTCGAGCGTTAGAGATAGAGTTTAACTTTAGTATAGGTAGAGTGTTGCTCAGAGTTATAATATGCAAAGCAGCACAAGTAAAGAATGGCCAAATGACCAAACTCGATCATTTACATATCAAGAGAAATGGCATTGCAGCAACTCAAGTAAACCGACAACAATATCATCAGAAATGTGAGATAAACAAAAATTATGAGCAAAAAGTATAAAGTATTACCAAATTAAAGATGAGCATTTAAAATCCTCTGCATGTAACTCCATCTTTACCTTAATGTCTCAAGTATTACCTTCTAAAATAGCCACACAAACGAAAACGAAATTAAACCTTGTTGTGCTGACTATATAATGAAACAATAACAAGAACTCATCAATCACTTCCTTAATTGAACCCACTTCAGTTTCAATATAATTAACCACCCATGGGAATATGCATATCTATAAATCCGATGCTTAATAGCAGAGTAATACAATCTGACACCGATTTGGATGAAACAAGATCAATTCCAAATAGGTTCCATGTGTCATAATAAAACTTTCCACTGTAATTATTCATACCCAGACCCTTGAAAAGAATTATACCTATAATAAAATTGAAAAGAAACAGACCACACTGCCCAGTCGATGACAATCTACATACAGAACAACAGAAAACCAAAGGGTTAATTCACTGTAATATGAAAATCTATACTCAATGCGCAGCAACATCGCTATTAAACGCATCAACAATATGGTCTCCAGTTAAATCGGTTGTTGGAGTCTGCAAATTAGGGCTCGGGAACCACGTAGTCTTAATTCCCGCCAACTTCTTCCTCTTGAGGCATAAGGGACCGTAAACCCTTCCAGACAAAGAAGGGAAATCATCCACGTCAATCTCCGATTGACCGATAGCGGAAAGTGGAGAAGACTCCAGAGAAGCAGTACGGCGGAGATGGATCTGAGATAGCGAGTTGTATCGGTACGATCTGGCGCTGATTCGCGAGTCCCGCATCTTCGCCAGGGCACCGGGCTTCAAGAACTTATGGAATTGCTCCGTGCGATTTGCACGTTGTTTGTGCGATAATTGAACTCTGCGATTCATGATTCTGAATCGGCGTCGATCAATGGAAGGGGAGTGAGCGAGATCGGAGACCAGTTAGGGTTTAATGGCTGTTGCAGTTCCAGGCCTGAGAGAGAGAGAAAGAGAGAGAGAGAAGCGGGAACGCAGTGGAGGGAAATTGAGTGTGCGAAACGGCGGCCAGTAGTTTTGAATTTGTAGGGCGTGGGTGGGCTGTATTTAGGCACGTGATCTCCAGTAGTTTTGAATTTGTAGGGCGTGGGTGGGCTGTATTTAGGCACGTGATCTCCAGTAGTTTTGAATTTGTAGGGCGTGGGTGGGCTGTATTTAGGCACGTGATCTTATGATTTTTTTTTTTTTTTTTTTTTTTTTCCGTTTTCGTTAGTAAAACAAGGTAAAAGAGCATTTTTTTTTTATATTTTTACTCTACCTAAAATTTGACTTTTGATTTTGTAATTTTAAAATATCAAAGTTTTGTAATAAATATATTACATTTTGGAATAATTATAATAAATTTTGAATTAATAATTTTAAAAATATCAATTTATTTATATGATAAATTTAATTTTATATTCAAATTAATATGCGATGTATATCTACAACTAAACACATACATGAAAATATGAAGTACGACTTTAATTTCGTGAATTATTTGTTTTTAAATTTAGCCTCTTAATTTTTTATAACGTTAATGAAAATTCGTCATTGTACACGGTTAGATATTTATGATATACTTCAAAATTTATATTTAATGGTAATTGCAAGCATGCAAATTTTTTTATTGTCATCCAACAACATTTATTCTCGACCCTAAAATAATTTTTTAAAATATTTATTTAGTGATTAAAGATGGTTAAATATTTTAAAATAAATGATATAGTTTTTGAATTTTTGTCATAAATATTCATTTTTATAAGATTCATTCACTATATTTTGCTATCTAGTATTTGTTTATCCAACGTTCATCCGAGTTTATGTGCCTCGAAATGGTATTAATTTTTTTTCTCACTCTATTTAACAATTAGCAATTATATATATTTATGCAGTAGTGCATTTTAAAATAATTAAAAGTAATAAAGAAATAAATACCGAAGAAATCCGTTGTTTGCGAGACATTTATTATGCTCATATCCCATATTTTAGAAGGGTGGCTGTATATATATTATGCTAAAATTATGTCATTTATTATGGCCATATACTTAATATTTACTCAAGATATCGTACCTTTTAAAAAAGATTACAAACAATTATATATAATAAAAAAAGATTACGATCTTTATTATAATAATAATAATTATTATTATTATTATTATTATTATTATTATTGACCCAGTTCCACGCAATAATTACAATTTTTTTTTGTTTCCTTAAATTATCAGTCACGTTCTCATTAATTGTATGCTAGAAACAATATATTACATTTTATTCTGATATTTGAATTTTGTTTTTCAATTACTTTGAAAATATAATTAAATTTAAATCACCCAACATTATTTTCGCTAAATTATAATTAAAGAATAATTATATAAAGTTAATTATTAGAAATGACCAATATATCCATTCTATTGTACGGACGATGATCCCATTCATGATAGACCAAGGCTAAAAGTGGTATTATAACATTTGAAATAATAATTATATTTTTTTAAACAAACGACAAATATCATAAATATATTTTTTTTTTTTGTTTGGAAGAGAAGAATCTAATTTCATGAGAGCCAAATTAAAACAAAATTCAAAACTCTGATTTTTGAAAGATAAGAATAAAACTAAATTAAAACAAAAACAATTAAAGATCACGAGCGGAGAATAAAGGTTAATTAATTTGGCAAAGGATGTTTTCTCACGAAAGATAAAGGGAGAGGAAAAGGTAATTCGTTTGGCAAAAAAGGAATAGAAAGAAGAAAAACTCAATAATTTGTTGTGAAATATCTTGCAGATTAAGGTAGCTTTCCAGTTGAACAGTTCGTTCCTGTTCACATCCTTAGTGTCTATGATCTATCAAATTTTGGATTTGATTCGCTAATCTGCAAGACTTTATGCACTGTTCTAATTCGTTTCTGTGGATAAAAAATCATTATAATGTGTGTAAAAGAGGAGAGAATATGTACCGATTTCAAACTCAGAATAAGAAGTTCTAATACTTTGATACAAGAAGGGGAAAAACCATACATCGATCTGATAATCCATCTAAAAATGTCACTATGATTACAAAAATTACTTGATATACATCCTATACTGTTCTTCATATACTTTGAACAGAATCGAACACAGCAACTTCAAGAACACGACTCGACTTCGAATCACACACAGATATAATAGTTTTGGTGATCAAATAACACACCACAGTAATATTTCAGATTGCGTTAAGAGAGAGAGAGAGAGAGAGAGAGATAGATTTTAATGGAGACCTTCAGAAATACATTCCAAAGCCGGCCTCCTGCTTCCATTTTCATCCTCAACTTCATCGGTTCTCGCATCTGAAACCGTCGTTCTGCCTTTCACCTTAAATTCAGCAATCAATTCCTCCAACGAACGTGAACTGTTCTCTTTTTCCTTCAATATCTGCTTCAACTCTCTCTGAGACATCACCACTTTAATCCTCAATACTCCGGCTCTGTCTCCATCTCCACCACTTCCGCCGGAGTTTTCGTCTTCTTCTTGTAGCTTAAACCTCACTACCTTCTTACCTGCAGACGCACCGCTTCTCTCCTCTGCCGTCTTCGGCTTCGCCATAGCAGATCCGGCCACCGGTTTCTCCTCCACTTTCTTAGCTTCCACAGGAGGCGAATTAGACAAAGCCAAACAAGACTCGTCTTGCGCCATAACTTTATTGCTTTTGAAACAGCTATTCCCCATAGCAACGGGAACTGAATTCTTCACTGAATCTGCGCCTCTGTTCTGCAAAGTAGAGATACCAGAGAGCAAAAACGGACGCAAATGATTTTATAGATTGAGCGAGAGACAGAGAGATGTAGCGTAAAGGCACATGAGAGAGCGTTTGTTGCGCCGCGTTAACTGAGATAAAAAAAAAAAAAAAAATGATCACAAACGCAACGCCCCCCTTCCTTATATCGTGCACTCCAACGGCCCCCCGAATTTGGACTGTTTGGCTTTTCATTTAATTTAAGTACTTCCTAATCAACTTTTTAAATAACTCCCCATGTGTTAAGAGCATAATCAAATTCAGTTATTTTATATTTATCACAATCCATTAGGACCACCTGTCTACATACATTACTTCATTTATTTTATTTTAATTTTCTTGTCACAATCATGAAACATTCAAATTGATTAATCACTCCTTAAACTTAATTATTGTAATTAATCTCTTAAACATTACAAAAATCACACCTTAATTATAGGTCAAACTTTATTGTAATTCAATTTTTTTAAAAGATTAATACTGCCATTATGCCCTAAATTTAGCCATGAATTTACAACTGTTTTTTATTTAATTTAATTATATAACACATAAAACTTTGATATATATATTTTTTGTTATAGAATATGAGAAATGTAATGGGATACATTACATTGTGAGGCTCATGACTGAAAAATATAAATAATTGTCAGACTCCAAACGACCAGAAATTATGGTGTGAATGTGAACTCTATTCCAGCAGGACACCACCCTGTTCTTTTGTTTGGGCCCTGGCCTACTTAAATTATCATAACTTTTATTTATTATTATTATTTTATTTAAGTATTAATAAATTTGTAAATATTCTAAAATTTAATTTTGTAATAATAAGTTTCTACACATTTTAATTTTTTTTAAAAACTTAGTTGATTACGTATATTTAATTTTGGATTTAGTTGATCCATAAATTTTTTTAAAAATTTAGAATTTGGAGACGGTATACACAAAATATAATTTAAGTTAATTATTAGCTAAATTAATTACATTATCCTCCTATAATGATTGTATATTAATAATTTTTATATAAAATTTAATACTCACGACCATGAGATAAGTTTGAGTAAATATTTTGTATTTAATCAATAATAAAATAAAAACATGACTATAGACTTACAAAACATGTTCTTAAACATAAATCGAGGTAAGTTATGTAATTATAAAATGTTAATATTCTTTTTAAAATAGGATACTATATTTATTTTGTAAATATCATAAAAATTTTATGTTGTTATAAATTAATTAGTTAATTCAATTTGATTAAAAATATATATATTTACATTGAAACATTGATTATGACGAATATTACAAAATTAATAATTCAATTTAATTACAAAAAAACAACTAAATAAGTCTAAACTAATTAAAATATTAATAATGTAATTAATTTTATAATGAAATTAAATATTTAAGATCATCTAAAATATTAATTATAAATATATTTGTTAAGATTTAGCCCATCTAAATAATATATTGATATTACTAATTAATTAAAAATAATTATCTGGAGCAATTCAATTAAATTATTTTTCGCATCATAAATAGACTCAATTAATAAATAAAAAAATCATAGGCTAAACCACATCTAACTATAAAAAAAATTGTATAATACTTAAAATTGGTAAGAAATTCACAAAAAAAAAAAAAAAAAAAAAAACAGGTTTAAATTAAAAAAATAAAATACCATAGTTTAGGATAAAAAAATAGTTAAAATTTTATTTCAAAACTGTTTAAAAAACATCATTTAATTTTTAAGACGGTTTTAAAAACACGTTTGATTTTCAAAAATTAAATTAATAATATTCTTAAACTTTTTAAAAAACCTAAAATACATTTCTCAACATTTTTATAAATTTAAAAATATTTTTATTATTAGTAGGCAGTTTCAAATATATACATAACATTAAAATATTTTTTAAATATAATTTTATTAAGCAAAATAATAATGTTTTTTCTCTTTCAAAAAATGTAAATGTACTATCCAATTTTAAAAATATTCTTTTTGATAAATTACAAATTTAGAATTATAATAATTCAGCTATTGAAATTGAAATTAGATAGACATAATTTAGCGGTGGCAGCCTCCACACGCATATTCCTTACCCCGTCAGCCGCCGGGAACTCCTTTTGCTTAATTTACAAAAGTACCCTTTTTCTCCTAAGTCAAAGTAATGGTATTTTGTAATTAATTCCTAACTCCTTGTCTTAATAATCAAGCTGTCACATGAATGTGAACGCCTCGTTTGTCTAAAGATAGCTTTCTAAAACGGTCGTCGCGTTAATACATAATTAATATATTGCTTTATCTAATTAAGATATTTTTAACAAAAATAAAAATTAGATTATTATTTTTAAATAAATAAATAAAAGCAGCGACTTCAAGACGATTTCGTAGACAGAATGAAATACATAAAAAAAAAAACATGTACATTAAGAGAAGTCTATTCAACGTTGTTTTTTTCACGCCTTTTGAATTAATTAAAACTTTATATTATTTTCAGAAGAAATTTAATTATAAGTTATTTTATTAAAATACCTATTTTCTATTATATAGTATACAATTTTTTTTGGTGGATTGAATTATGATATTTTAAAACTTTATTATATAATTTTCTTATGCGTATTGGAAGAAATTGTGGGAAAGTTTCGGATAAAGTTTTGAGAAATTAAAGCTTGTTTGTTGCTCCGACATATTCTAATTATATATTTTATTTTGTCGTATAGTGTAATTAATAATTAATATCAGTTTAATAAGTGTTGTATTTAGAGTTGTTTATTGACTGCGGTTTGAATCCAGCTTATGTTATACTTGGATATGATTGGTTTGTCATGACCCCATTTAAATAAGTAAAGCTATTATTAAAGTAAATTTAATAAGAAAAAAGTGCTTTTGAACTATCAAAATTAAAGTGTTTCTATTTAATTTTTGAAATTTTAAAAAAATAACATATTTCACTGTCATTTTAATTTTATTCAATATTGCTAATTATATAATGTTTTTGTGTTCAGATTATACCGTTCAAATGGTGGAGAAAAAATTTCTATATATATAAAATATGGAGCAAATATTAAAATTTGAATTTCTAAACATCGTATAGATTATATGTTTATTTATGAAATATTATTAAATTTATTAGAATATTTACATTTTTTAAATAAATTATATTAAAAATGGAAGATGATCTATTATCGTTTTTATAATATATATATATATATATATATATAAGAAAATTGTGATTTTTTTCATGGACAATTCTCCTTCAATCTTCAAATAAATAAATAATTAAATGAAAATTTTTGCATCAACTAAGTAGATATAAATATAAATGATATTTTAAATTAATAACGAGTGGAATCTTCTCACTTTTAATTATTGTAATTGTTTTGTTTAAGAAAAATAATAATAAATGAGCTATCTAAAAATATCTATTTTTTGCCTTATAATATGAATTTATTTTTATTATTGTTTCAAGTTTTGCATAAACAAAATATTATAATCTCAAACATTAATTTTTTTTAATAATTAAACAAAAATATATTAAACTCATAGCAACAAATAGTGGTAAAATACTCCACACAAATTTAAGATTGGATTAAATACTGAAAATTGAAACAATGTAAATGTGATGTACCACATCGGATGATGAGAAGAACAAAACATCATTTGTAAGAGTGTGAAAACTTTTTCCTATAAAACGCGTTTTAAACTCTTGAGGGGAAGCCCGAAAGGGAAAGCTCAGAGCTAGACATCGGACACTGGACCCTAAACATTCTAATCACTTGTTACAATTGAATCTAATTTATTATCATTATTATTTTTATCTTTTGTTTTCTTAAATCCACTTTTTTCCCACAAAAGGAAGCGACGATAGTTTGTTTCACTCGCCGGTCGCCGCTTCTTGATAACCAACGACCATAGCGCGCAGTCGTACTCGCGTTCATTTCCCGCCAAAATTAAGGAATTTTGGGTCCATTTAATCTCCATTGATTTTAATATCTCGAATTTTATTTCATATCACGCATTGTATAAAGCTGTTCTCTCCTTCTCCATTCGTTCGATCGCTCTTCATTTCTTTCTCCGTGCGTCTGCCTAATTCTAGAAAACCACCATGAGAGCTCTGAGAAACGCCGTCGTCACTCACAAGAAGCGCAACGCAGAGTAATCGCCTCATTCACTCTGATTGTGATCTTCATGTTTTTGCTTCTCATCTTGAATAAGTTTTACATTCTATGTTTCCATTTTCGACGTAAGTTTTTAATTTCTGTTCAATCTTCACCTGTACGATTAGTGTCCCTGTTTCTCTTCAACAGCGATTCTATGCTCTTCATCTCTGCATTTTTATGTTCTTTTGCTTTCTAGGTACTGTACGTCCAATTATCTGACTAATTTGTTTTTCAATTCTTTTGTGATGTTTCGCCTATTCGTTCATTCCTTATTAAGTTGAATTTCACAGTCTACGTTGTCTTCTTATCAGTTTTATTAGTTTTGCTTCCATACACAATGGCTTCTTCATTTCTCTGAATACCTGAACTATTCTATTGGCATCATTCCATTTTTATGTGTTTTAGCTCCTCTATTTTCCCTCGTTTTGGCTGTTACACTAGATTGAGTGTACTCCTAAAAGTCTATCCAATTTGCCATCTCCTTTTTTTTTTTTTTTTTTGATACATACATGATTTTATGATCGATCCGCTTTCCGAAGGATGCTGAAGCAGAAAAAATTTGAGATGAAATCCACGAAAAGCAACAAAGGAATGAAGAAAGATCAAAATGCTCCAAAACGTCCGGCTACAGTCTTCTTCATTTTCATGTAAGTACAGTTTATAATTTAACTCTAGTGCTCTAAAGAGTCTGCTTCATTTTGAAAACCTTCCTTTACATTCTAGCTTACATTATATTGGTCCGTTCTGATTTCATTATTGTCTTGGCAAATGATAGGGAGGAATTCAGGAAGACGTTCAAGGACAAATTTCCTGATTGAAAAGCTGGTCCAGCAGTGAGATCTTATACTGTTACTTTTAATCAGCACTGCTTTCTTTTTATGCCTCCATTTATGTTTAGATATGACTGAGTGGAGGATCAGAAGACTTCTCGAGTTGGCTAGATTTGTTATTTGTGGTTAACTGTGTTTTGTTATTTTGCAGGTTCGCAAAGCTGGCGGTGAGGAATGGAAGTCACTTTCTGATGCTTTAAGATTATGAATCTCCTATTTTCATGCTATTTCCATTGAAAACTAATTCGAGGCTAAATAATTATTAGCAGCCTCAATAAATGATTAAGCTATAAGATTTGAGGTTAGTTGTTCTAATTTATATGAAGATCGTTTCATGTTTTGCTCTCTGTATTCACTTCGCTACTAGATCAGAGTTATTGACTATACGAGTCTGCTGGCACTTGTGTTTCTTCCTCAGGAAAAAGCTCCTTGCGCTGAAAAAGCTTTGAGAAGGAAGGCAGAGTATGAGATATCTCTTGAAGCATACAAGAAGAATCTCTAACGCGTTTCCACTCCATCTCTTCTTTCACTCCTTCTGCTTCCCTTTGTTTGTAAACGGTTGGATGATGAAAGTCCCACGTTGACTAATTTAGGGAATAATCCTGAATTTATAAACAAAAAATACTCTCTCCATTGGAATGAGGCCTTTTGGGAAGCCAAAACAAAGCCATGAGAGCTTACACTCAAAGTGGACAATATCATACCATTGTGGAGAGTCGTATTCTTCTAACATTGTATTAGAGTCATGCCCTAAACTTAGTCGTGCCAATAGATTGGTAAATCCTTAAATGTTGAACAAAAGACTCCAAAAGAAAAGGAGTCGAGCCTTCTCAAAGGCAATAAAAAATGACTAAGACTCCAAAGGAGTCGAACATCGATTAAGGGGAGGCGCACTTTGTTCGAGGGGAGGTGTTGGATGATGAAAGTTCCACATCGACTAATTTAGGGAATGATCATGGGTTTATAAACAAAAAATACTCTCTCAATTGGAAATGAAGCCTTTTGGAGAAACCCAAAACAAAGCCATGAGAGCAAAGTAGACAATATCATACCATTGGGGAGAGTCGTGTTCTTCTAACAAACACCACCCTATAGTTCCATATATTATCTATTGTCCCTATCTCTCTTCTCACTAAGATCTCCTGGTTTACAGAAATGCTGTTCGGGCGCTGAAGCTGAAATTGAAATGCCAACAGAATCGCAGAAATCAACCTCTGAGGTCCATGATGACGCATAGCAGGAAGCTAGCTCCAGCTCTTAGGTATTGTTTCCCTATCCAAAGATTTCATACTCCGAAGCATGTATGCTATAGCACCAAACAATGTACATCAGCACATCCTCTTCAAGTGATTCAAATACCATAGATGTTGATTTTATCATTACGGCCAGCTGATATTTGGTTTTCTACATCGTCTGCCAAGATTTGCAGGACTCCACCGTCCCTTGGAGGTAACAGAATTCCTTATTTTCTTAAATAAAAGTTACATGGTTATTTGGACGAGAGCTAGCAAGTAGAAAGGGAGTCGGGAGTATGCTAGAACTCACATAACTTTTTAACAATTTTAGAACAAATTTTTAGTAATTTCTTTCGGTACATATGTTATTCTACGTATGGATATTTCGGAAGATTGGAGTAAGTTGAATTAGGAACAAAGAAATTAAGAAATATATGTATTTGAAGCAAATTTCTGTAAAAGATGATGTGGTGCTGTATTAAAACTCAGAAATATTTTTTTATTATCCGAGAAAATTTTCATTTACAATCATTTACAAAATTAAATAAATTACAAAAAAAAATAGTAAGAGCACTGATCAAAGTTAATTATCATACAAGATATTATTTATAACCGGTAGTTTTGTTGGTTGGTTAATTGGTTACACATTCTATTGATACCTATAATAAATTGTAATGAAAGTTAATTATATATAAAATACTAGCCTAGAATCAAAAGTCATGATAAAAATGCTAAACCTGAGTGAGCTGGAGGTGAGTGGGAGTGGGGGAGTGAAAGGAAGGAGGATTAGATTAAACTCTAAATTTAAAATAAGGGATGAAATTGATTTCATCTTCAAAGCTAAATTAGAAAATCAAATGAAGTTAACAAACCAAACACCAAATATAACTACAGAAATTCTCGACTCTAAAAGCCACCGAAATTTGACACAATAATCAGAGGAAGTAGTCAGCTTTTGTCGTGGGGAATGGGGTGCAGACGTAATCAAAGGATAACAGGATCCATTGGAGGATCAAGGGTGGAACACGGGAGAGGATGGGCTCATTATGCCTAATGGATAGGAAAAAGAATTGAAGAAGATGGCGGCGCTTTCGCCGGAAGAGAATTGAAGAAGAATTTTTGTTATTTTACGAAGAATCAGAGTGGATAAAGATTTAAAATATTTTACTCTATGTGCAGAACTTAGCAGCTGTTTCTATATTTGCAAATAGGAGAAACATTTTAGCTACATATTATAATGCCGCTAGTGAACTTCTGAATCTTGTAATAGGACAAAAAGGTCCGATCTTTACCATTTTCTGAAGTAGACTTCTACTTTTGTACTCGCAACCGCTTAAATGTTTGTAAAAGTTAAACAGCGATTTAAACTAAATTAAACCACCGATTTTGTTCTTTGCCAGAAGGGAGTAACTTAAAGAAGCTGAGAAGGTGGACCTGGCTAAGGAAGAGCAATGGATTTGAAGAAGCCATGATTAAAAGCTCGCCAAAAACAAGAGAAATCATAAGAAGGGTTTGGAGGTGAGCATTCTGTGGTGTCGGACTGTCGATTCACTTGTTTCTAGTCACCATTCACTTGTACAATCAACTCGTGTTTTTAAAGAAATTTATGAAACCCATTTTCCTTATCGAACCAGAAATTGATTGGTGTAGTCAATTCATTCTTACCCAGTTGGAAACGATGCGAATGGTCCTCCCACTGTCTCTACGCGATTCTGTAAGTCGTGATTCTTATTTCTCTGAATGACTCTAAGGTTCCGTTTCAATGTCGAATTTGTAATCCTATGTAATATATTGTTTCAGGTCAATTCAGTGACTGAAGTGTGGTTCAATGGCTCTCGAGGAAAAAAAACTTTACGGTTCAGCGATTCTCCGCTTTGACAAGGAAGTCAGTAAGGGGAGAGAAATTTTGGGTCAGCACGCTATGAACTTGCAGTTGTTTAGTCTTTTCCGTAACAGTTGTGGTTTGGTGAACATTGTCGGAGAACTGCTCGTAGTTGTAAGCATCGATCAACAGTGATTGATGGGTTCATCGGCGCAACCAGCACCATGTTGTTGAACAGCTTTTGGGCGTCAAATCGGATGCGTGCATTAATTGGCAACATGGTCTCGTTTTGGCTAAGAATCCTCTCCGAGTAAAGGCATTCTTTAGCTCTGCTCATCGTATAAAGATACGATGACATGTTTCTTTTACTGTCAATGGGACTCGAATAATTCCCTCTGATAACACGGTCCAATCCTCCATGACTTGTTCTTCTTGCCTTCCTTTGTACTTATTCCTGACCTACATCTTTTATCTGTTCACAGTTTACTATTGACGCTTTTATGTTCATTAGGAGCTCTATACAATAATTGTTAGTAGAAAATTCTGTACTGAAACTTTTAGTTAGAATGCTTGTTCTTCTCTGTGCTGTGTTCTTGAGCTCCCTCTCTTCATTTAAAGTTTTCCTGGTTATCACCAAAAGCTCGTCTCCAGCTCGTGACAGCTTGAATCACTAAGTTTTGAGTCTTCCGGTAGATTAAGATTGTTAACTCATGGAGAGCCTATTAGTTCTTACATTGATTAGTTCGATATGGGTATTTCTTGCTGGTTCTGCATGTTGCCAAAGGCCCGCGGTTGTGAATATTGGTGCAGTTTTCACTTTTGATTCCATTATAGGAAGAGCGGCGAAGGTGGCAATGGAAGCTGCAGTTTCGGATGTGAATGCAGATCCTTCCATTCTCAATGGAACAAGGCTAAATTTGATCATGGCAGATACACATTGCAATGTTCTCTTGGGTTCAATTCGAGGTACATCTCTGTACACATATTGCATTCATAGTATGTAAGAAATTTTGTAAATGGCTCTGTTAGTGTTATCCCAACATCATGTCTTTGATTGTTATTAGGATGAAATTGCTTGATCATAATATTACATTGCCTCATCTCCAAGAAGTTCTTATGATTGAGACTTGAAAATGTCTTATTTGTGTAGATAGTAATATTCAGTTCTTTTAAGTATTTCTTAGCCATCATATTCTTAAAGTTACTTTCATTCAAATGTGGTCGCAATTCATTCATGTACCCCTCTTTTACTCGGGGCTTGCATTGTAATGGTCAAAGCCCACTGTTAGCTGATGTTGTCCTCTTTGGGATTTCCCTTTTGGGCTTCCCCTCAAGGTTTTTAAAATGCGTTTCCTCCACACCCTTATAAAGAATGCTTTGTTCTCTTCCCCAACCGACGTGGGATCTCACAATCGCTTCCTTTCTGGACCCAATGTCTTTGCTGGCACTCATTCCCTTCTCCAATTGATGTGGGACCCTCCAATCCACCCCTTTTGGGGCCTAGTGTCCTTGCAGGCACATTGCCTTGTGTCCACTCCCCTTCGGGGCTTAGTCTCCTCGTTGACACATCGCTCGGTGTCTAGCTCTGATACCATTCGTAATGGCCCAAGCCCACCACTAGTAGATACTGTTCTCTTTGAGTTTTCTCTTTCTGGCTTCCCCTTAAGGTTTTTAAAACGTGTCTGCTAGGGAGTGATTTCTTTGAGTTTTCTCTTTCTGGCTTCCCCTTAAGGTTTTTAAAACGTGTCTGCTAGGGAGTGATTTCCATACACTTATAGAGAATGTTTTGTTCTCTTCCCCAACCTATGTGAGATCTCACAATCCACCCCCCTTCAGGCCCAGTGCTTTGCTGACACTCGTTCCCTTCTCCAATCGATGTGGGACCCTCCAATCCACCCTCCTTTGTGGCCCAGTGTCCTTACTGGCACACCACCTTGTAGCCACCTCCCTTCGGGGCTCAGTCTCCTGTGTCTACTCTGATACCATTTGTAATGGCCCAAGCCCACCACTAGCAGATATTGTCTTCTTTGGGCTTTCTCTCTCGTGATTCCCCACAAGGTTTCTAAAACGTGTCTACTAGGGAGAGGTTTCTACACTCTTATAAAGATTGCTTTGTTCTCCTCCCCAACCAATGTGGGATCTCACATACATCATATGTGAATGAGAAAATTAAACTCCTTCATTCTTGATGCTGTCTGCTATTTTGAATATATGGCACTAAAGTTTAATATTGTACTTTTCATTCTCTATTGAAGTGTCTTGATGTCTACGTGATTTATGTCACACTTTCTGACTTCTGCCCCTTGTGCAACAGCTTTCCAGGTTCTTGAGAAAGACGTAGTAGCCATAGTTGGGCCTCAATCTTCAGTTGTAGCTCATATGGTTCTACAGATTGCTAATCATCTCCAAGTGCCACTTATATCATACGCTGCCACTGATCCAACTTTATCTGCCCTCCAATTCCCCTTTTTCCTACGGACTACTCAGAGTGATGCCTATCAAATGACTGCTATGGCAGAATTAATTGACTTTTATGAGTGGAAGGAAGTGATCATTATCTTTGTGGATGATGATTATGGTAGAAATGGAATGTCCACTTTAACTGATGAACTTGACAAGAAGATGTTTAAAGTTTCTTACAAACTACCCTTACCTTCTCAGTTGAATCTCAGTGAAATCACAGACATTCTCAATAAATCCAAGTTGCTCGGTCCTCGAGTCTATGTTGTTCATGTTAATCCTGATCCTAGATTAAGCATCTTCAAAATAGCCCATCAACTTGATATGATGACAAGTGATTATGTGTGGCTGGCAACAGATTGGCTTTCTTCTACCTTAGATTCTATTCTGCCCGCACACCAAACCTCTCTAAACATCCTTCAAGGAGTGGTTGTACTTCGTCAATATACGCCTGAATCCAGCCAAAAAACAACATTATGGTCTCGTTTAAGGAAGATGCTGCCAGAAGACTCGAGAAATTCTTCGATGAATGTCCATGCTCTTAGTGCCTACGATACCATTCAAGTAGTTGCACGTGCGATTGGTAAGTTTCTAAATGGAGGCAGGAGCCTTACCTTCTCATTAAAGAACAAGTTTCATGATTTAAATACATCTAGAATGCCGTGGGGGAAGCTCAAAATATTTGATGATGGTGCTCTTCTTTTGAGCACATTGTTGCAGGCAAACTTTACTGGTTTAAGTGGTCGGATTGAGTTTAATTCAGATCGAAACTGTTGGATCGGTATGGCAACCCTAGAGGGGGGGTGAATAGGGTTTTAACGATAAAAGTGTTTAAACTTGATTAATTTTTCTAATGATAAAACTTTTTACAAATAAGTAGAAGATGATAATTACTAAAACAAAATAATTCAAGTCAAAACAATAATCAAGTAGAACATGCAATAAACATAATAATAATCTTGAAATTAAATAGGAAAGAGTTAGAGAAAATGACACCGTAGTTTTATAGTGGTTCGGTCAAACTCGACCTACTCCACTCCCCAAGCGCCTCTTGGGAATTTGAATAAAGAACTTTTCCGACTCTTTCCACGGATCAGAGCCAAACCGGTACACCGCTCTTTTTACGAGTTCAAGAGCAAACTCAATCCTTTCAACGACGCAGGATCAAACCGATACAAGTATTTGAGTTTGATAATAACACACCACAACTCTCTCAAAGAGTAGATTTACAATTTGGGATACTGACAACTATTTCCTCACAATATAATAATAATCCCTCTCAAGAATAAGATGAAAAGAAATAAACTTGTAAGCTTGGAGAGAGCAATAAACAATGGAGACTTTGAACAAATGAGGATTGAAGAATGTATGTAAGTTGTGTATTTTAAAAATGTGGGGAAGATGAGTTTATATAGAGGAGAAAAGTGGCAAAATGTAGGATTGAATATTGACCATTGGATTGTGTTAGGAATAATGGAAGGTGGAGATTAAAAGTAATTAAGTAAGAAAATTTTCTAAATTCATTTATTTCAAAATTTTAATATAATAGTAATATAATATAATAATAATAAAAAGTTATGTGAGTAACGGTAAAATGTAATTCAAAATTTATTATAAATATAATAATATAATAATAATAAAAATGATGTGAGTAACTACCAAAATTTTAAAATATAATAATATAATAATATAATATAGTAATAATAAAATTCGATGTGAGTAACGGTTATATTCAAATTTATATTTGTAAAAATAATTTTATTTAGAAATGTAATAATAAGAAAAACTCCACCATGTGTTACTCTTCCAATATTATAAATGTCATACTTTGATATATTTTGATTTGTCCATCATTTTGATTTTGTTGCCACATCATCACGTCGGGTATGTTGTCTCGACTCTAATTTCTTCGTTTTAGCTCTGATTTGAGTAATTGAAAAGTTGTTGTAATCGTTATTCCCGACCTTATACTGTGGACAGTTCAAAAAACTGAAAATAGTTAATAATTAAAAGTAGGTTTGTTATCATCAAAACATCAATAATTAATTCATTGAAATTAATTAATGTGAGATCAAGGGCCAATAAGCCAACAATCTCCCCCTTTTTGATGATGACAAATCATTTAAAGAAAAATTCATAAAAACCAATAATACAACATCCATGTAATAATATCACTACATACTAATATATTATCATAAATTTCACTCAAGAGCATATTCTCCCTTATATTAATGCCTCAAGAAATTATGAAACACCAAGTAAATGATTCATAAATTATAAAATAACAAATTTAGAACATATTTTTCTTAATTTTCTCCCCCTTTGTAATCATCAAAATGAACAATTGAAAGAGAATGCATTTAATAATGACATAATGACTCCCCCTAAAAACATGCATTCAAAAATTATAAAATTCAAGATATATCACAACGAATAATACCAAGCTCAAGCCTATTTTTGCAAAAAATTTCTTCATTCAATGGCTTGGTGAAAATATCGGCCAGTTGATTATTAGAGTTTACAAAATCAAGAATAATATGTCCATTTTGCACATGCTCTCTAATAAAATGATGTCTAATGTCAATATGTTTAGTTCTAGAATGATGAATAGGATTTTTAGTTAAATTAATAGCACTTGTATTATCACAAAATATAGGCACACTATGAAACTTTAATCCAAAATCACAAAGAGTTTGTTTCATCCAAAGAATTTGAGCACAGCAACTAGCAACCGCAATATATTCCGCTTCGGTAGTAGATAAGGCAACCGAATTTTGCTTTTTACTAAACCAAGAAACTAAGGAACTACCAAGAAATTGACAAGTTCCACTAGTACTTTTACGATCAAGTAAGCTTCCGGCAAAATCTGCATCAGAATATCCTACCAATTTAAATTCAACATTTCTAGGATACCACAATCCTAGATCAATAGTTCCAAGCAAATATTTAAATATTCTCTTAACGGCATGTAAATGAGATTCCTTAGGACAAGATTGAAATCTAGCACAAAGACATACACTAAACATAATATCGGGTCTACTAGCGGTCAAGTAAAGTAAAGATCCAATCATACCTCGATAAGCTTTAATATCCACACTTTTACCTTTTTCATCCTTGTCAAGCTTAGTGGATGTGCTCATGGGAGTTCTTGCAATCTTACCTCCATTGAACTTGAATCTTTTGAGCAAATCTTTAGTGTATTTCTCTTGATTGATGAAGATACCATTCTTGAGTTGTTTGATTTGAAGTCCAAGAAAGAAACTGAGTTCTCCCATCATACTCATCTCAAACTCACTATGCATACATTTAGAAAATTCTTCACATAAAGAAGGATTAGTAGAACCAAATATGATATCATCCACATATATTTGCACTAATAGCATATCGTTTTCTTTAATCTTAATAAAGAGTGTAGTGTCGAGTTTGCCCATTTTAAAATCATTCCCAATAAGAAAATTACTAAGTCTATCATACCAAGCTCTTGGAGCTTGTTTTAAGCCATAAAGAGCCTTTTTCAACTTATAGACATGATGAGGAAATTCTACATTTTCAAATCCGGGAGGTTGTTCTACATAAACTTCCTCCATAATATAACCATTCAAAAATGCACTTTTCACATCCATTTGATATAATACAAAATTTTTGTAAGAAGCAAAAGCAAGTAACATTCTAATAGCTTCTAATCTAGCAACGGGTGCAAAAGTTTCTTCATAATCTATGCCTTCCTCTTGACAATAACCTTGAGCTACAAGCCTAGCTTTATTTCTAATGATATTCCCATTTTCATCCATTTTATTTCTAAAAACCCATTTGGTTCCAATAATAGAAGTATTAGATGGCCTATGGACTAATTCCCAAACTTTGTTCCTTTCAAATTGATTTAGCTCTTCTTGCATGGCTAAAATCCAAAACTCATCATTTTCGGCATCCTTAAGACTTTTTGGTTCAATTTGAGAAACAAAAGCAAGATTATTAAATAAATTAATAGAAGAGCGAGTTTTCACACCTTGTTCGAGATCACCAAGAATCAAGTCCTTGGGATGAGACAAGGCATACCTCCATTCTTTTGGCATTGATGAAGAACCTTCTTCCTTTAAGCTCATCTCTTCTTTACTCGTAACAATTTCTTTGCCGTTGTCACTAACGAGTAAATCTCCAAAATTTCTTTCTAAATCATCACTACAAATAGACTCATTAGAAATATTATTGCAAGATTCATCAAATACCACATGCATAGATTCTTCAATAACTAAAGTTCTCTTATTGAAAATTCTATAAGCTTTACTAGTAGATGAATAGCCAAGAAAAATACCAATATCCGTTTTTTGAATCAAACTTTCCAAGCTTTTCTTTGTTGTTCAAAATAAAACATTTACAACCAAAAACTTTGAAATACCCAACATTTGGAATTTTGTTATGCCAGAGTTCATAAGGAGTTTTATTTAATGAAGGTCTAATTAAAACTCTATTTAAAATATAACAAGCGGTATTAACGGCTTCCGCCCAAAAATATTTAGGTAAATCATACTCATTTAACATTGATCTAGCAAATTCTTGTAAAGTACGATTTTTCCTTTCAACCACACCGTTTTGTTGAGGAGTCCTTGGAGAGGAGAAGTCATGAGAAAAACCATTATCTTCACAAAATTTTTCAAAGGCAACACTGTTAAATTCTCCCCCATGGTCACTCCTAATTTTAGTAATTAAAAACCCTTTTTCATTTTGAACTCTTTTTACAAAACTAGCAAATCTTTTCAAAACATCATTCTTATGTTTTATCATCAAAACCCAAGTAAATCTTGAAAAATCATCCACTATCACAAAAGCATAATAATTTCCTCCATAACTAGCTATTTTAGAAGGGCCAAATAAGTCTATATGGAGTAGTTGAAGAGGTCTAGTAGTAGAAATCATATTTTTAGATTTGAAAGAAGACTTAGTTTGCTTACCCATTTGACAAGCGTCACAAATTTTATCTTTTTCAAATTTAAGTTGAGGGAGACCTCTCACTAATGAATTTTTTGAAATATTTGAAATCAAGTACATACTAGCATGTCCTAGTCTTCTATGCCATAGCCAAGAGTTATCAAGCAAAACCGAAAGACATTTATCATTTGTAGGACAATCATTCAAATCAATAGTATACACATTATCGTCTCTATTTCCTACAAACAAAACTTTTCTATCACTAGCATTTTCAATTATGCAATTATTCTTATCAAATACAACTCTAAAACCTTTATCACATAATTGACTAATGCTAAGTAAGTCATGCTTTAAACCATCAACTAACAATACATTTTTAATGAGAGTACAAGAGTCATTACCTATAGTACCCTTACCAATTATTTTACCCTTCTTGTTATCACCAAAGGTTACTAAGCCACCATCCTTCTTGGAAAGATTGACAAACTTGGATGGATTACCCGTCATGTGTCTTGAGCAACCACTATCCAAGTACCACTTATTTTTCTTGGAGGCTTTCAAACAAACCTAAAAACAAAGATATTCAAAATTGACCTTTTGGTACCCATACTTGTTTGGGTCCTAGAAAGTTAGTATTCACAAATTTAGGAATCCATTTCATATTTGCATTCATATTAAAGACATTGTATTTAGATAAGTAACAAGAATAATCTTTATGTCCAAACTTACCACACGAGAAACAAACGACATTATGCAAGAATTTATTTCTTGGACTAAATTTGTGTATTCTATTTTTATTCAAAAAATTATTTTCTAAAACATTGTTAAACTTTGTATTTTGAGAAACTTTTCTTCCTAAATGAATATTTTGAGAATTTTTCAATTTAAAGCACTTAGGTCTAATATGACCTTCAACACCACAATAATGACATATAGGCACAAATCTAGATTTATCATACTTAGATACAAATTTACATGTGTTAGATTTAGGCAAGATAGGGGATGCTTTAACAAAGATTGTTTTAGAACTTGAAGGTGTAGAACATTCATCAATATAGCCTAATCCTCTTTTATCACCATATGACTTACCTCCTTCAAGTATTTTATCTAATTTTTGAGCACCTATTGTTAACATTTTAATAGATTCCTTAGCCCTACCAAGTTCTTGCAAATTATTTGATTCATTCTCTTTGAGCAATTTAATTAATTTATCTTTTTCACCACAATCATGCTCAAGAGTCTTGACTTTATCAATTAATGCATTTTTCTCATCACAATCAAATACATGCTTTTCACAAGGTACATCAATTTTAACAATATTATGATCCTTCTCCTTCAAGCAAGAAATTTCATTTAGCAAAGACTTATTTTCAATAATTGAAGTCTTATATTTCTTTTTAAGCACAACATACTTTGAACTAAGTTTTTCTAAATCAATTGTCATCTCATCAACAAGTTTAAATAATTCATGATAAGAAAGAGATTCAAGAGTTACCTCATCTTCTTGTTCATCTTCTTGTTCATCCTCTTTGTCACTATGAGCCATGAAGCAAAAATTTGCAACTTCTTCATCACTTCCACTTGCACTTTCATCACTATCATCCCAAGTAGCCTTCATTGCTTTCTTCTTGGATTTCTTAGATGATTTGAGGAGAGGACAATCCGTTCTTATATGACCCGGCTTTTTACATTCATAACATATTACCTCATCGTTTTTGCTCTTTTCACCTTTTGACTCTTTTTGATTTGTGAAATGTTTTTTTAATTGTTTCTTCCTTTTAATAAAATTTTTATACTTACGTGTGAAGTAGGCGACATCATCTTCATCAAGGACGTCCTCATCTTCAGAGTCAACTTTGATGGATTTTAGGGCTATACTTTTCTTCTTTTTGGATTCTTCTTCCATGTGCCCGTTCATGGTAATCTCATGTGTCATGAGAGAACCAATGAGTTCATCCAAAGGAAGCTTTGTGAGATCCTTTGCTTCTTGAATCGCCGTCACTTTTGCCTCCCAACTTTTAGGCAGAGACCTAAGAATTTTTCTTACATTTTCGGAGGTAGAATATACTTTTCCAAGATTTTTCAAAGCATTTAAAATATTAGTAAATCTAGTAAACATATCACCAATAGGTTCATTTTCCTCCATTTTAAATAGTTCATAATTATGAACTAACATGCTAATTTTTGTTTCTTTAACTTGATTGGTTCCCTCATGAGTTACTTCAAGAGTTTTCCAAATTTCATATGCCGAAGAACACATACATACTCTATTAAATTCATCATTACTTAAGGCACAATACAGACAATTGATAGCACTAGCATTCAAAGAACATTTTTTCATATCATGCTCATCAAATTCATTTTCTAATTTAGGCACCTCAATATTATTAACAATTTTTATTGGAATGTAAGGACCATTACTAACATTTAACCACAATTGATAATCAACGGATTGCAAATAAATTTTCATCCTAGCTTTCCAACATGTATAATTTGTTCCATCAAAATAAGGTGGCCTAGAAGTTGATTGTCCTTCACTAAAACCATTTTTAACACGTAGGTTTGCCATAAGCTCGAACAATAAAGTTTAGATAAAAAATCTATAGGAGCAACCTGCTCTGATACCAATTGTTGGATCGGTATGGCAACCCTAGAGGGGGGGTGAATAGGGTTTTAACGATAAAAGTGTTTAAACTTGATTAATTTTTCTAATGATAAAACTTTTTACAAATAAGTAGAAGATGATAATTACTAAAACAAAATAATTCAAGTCAAAACAATAATCAAGTAGAACATGCAATAAACATAATAATAATCTTGAAATTAAATAGGAAAGAGTTAGAGAAAATGACACCGTAGTTTTATAGTGGTTCGGTCAAACTCGACCTACTCCACTCCCCAAGCGCCTCTTGGGAATTTGAATAAAGAACTTTTCCGACTCTTTCCACGGATCAGAGCCAAACCGGTACACCGCTCTTTTTACGAGTTCAAGAGCAAACTCAATCCTTTCAACGACGCAGGATCAAACCGATACAAGTATTTGAGTTTGATAATAACACACCACAACTCTCTCAAAGAGTAGATTTACAATTTGGGATACTGACAACTATTTCCTCACAATATAATAATAATCCCTCTCAAGAATAAGATGAAAAGAAATAAACTTGTAAGCTTGGAGAGAGCAATAAACAATGGAGACTTTGAACAAATGAGGATTGAAGAATGTATGTAAGTTGTGTATTTTAAAAATGTGGGGAAGATGAGTTTATATAGAGGAGAAAAGTGGCAAAATGTAGGATTGAATATTGACCATTGGATTGTGTTAGGAATAATGGAAGGTGGAGATTAAAAGTAATTAAGTAAGAAAATTTTCTAAATTCATTTATTTCAAAATTTTAATATAATAGTAATATAATATAATAATAATAAAAAGTTATGTGAGTAACGGTAAAATGTAATTCAAAATTTATTATAAATATAATAATATAATAATAATAAAAATGATGTGAGTAACTACCAAAATTTTAAAATATAATAATATAATAATATAATATAGTAATAATAAAATTCGATGTGAGTAACGGTTATATTCAAATTTATATTTGTAAAAATAATTTTATTTAGAAATGTAATAATAAGAAAAACTCCACCATGTGTTACTCTTCCAATATTATAAATGTCATACTTTGATATATTTTGATTTGTCCATCATTTTGATTTTGTTGCCACATCATCACGTCGGGTATGTTGTCTCGACTCTAATTTCTTCGTTTTAGCTCTGATTTGAGTAATTGAAAAGTTGTTGTAATCGTTATTCCCGACCTTATACTGTGGACAGTTCAAAAAACTGAAAATAGTTAATAATTAAAAGTAGGTTTGTTATCATCAAAACATCAATAATTAATTCATTGAAATTAATTAATGTGAGATCAAGGGCCAATAAGCCAACAGAAACATTGTCAGTAGAGGCTATGAGGTGATCAATATTGATCGGACGGGATTGCGTCGAGTTGGTTATTGGTCCAATGGCACAGGCTTTACTATCCAATCCCCAGAAGCGCTGAAACAGAAACGAATTACTTATACCCACCTGAACCAGACTCTTGGCAATGTTACCTGGCCTGGTGGAAAGACAGAAAGACCGCGTGGATGGGTGATTGCAGACAATGAAAGACCATTAATAATTGGAGTGCCACGCAGAGTAAGTTTCATTGAATTTGTTTCAGCAGTCAATGGAAGCCACAAAAACATTCAAGGATACTGTATCGATCTGTTCAATGAAGCAAGAAAGCTGGTTCCCTACGATGTTCCTTACAGATTTATACCTTTTGGAAATGGCTACTCCAATCCTAGCTATGATGATCTTGTGAAGAACATTGCAAATGGTGTAAGTAAAACATTATATTATCTACTTTTCTGATGTCTGAGTGCCTAAAGAGCAAAAATCCAATCTGGGATTGTGGTTTAGATTTGCAAACAGACTAAAAAGAAAGTATTGTAGGAAAAACAAGTGTATTGTTATTTTCTGTATGCAGATGTAACCTACTTATGGACTCGGGGTGTTTCTGTAAAATCCTACATTGGTTGGGGAGGAAAACGAAACATTCTTTATAAGAGTGTGGAAACCTCTCCCTAGCAGAGATATTTTAAAAACTTAAGGGGAAGCTCGGAAAGGAAAGCTCAAAGAGGCTAATATTTGCTAGTGGTGGACTTGGGCTGTTACAAATAGTATCAGAGCTAGACACTGGGCGGTGTGCTAGTGAGGATGCTGGCTCCCAAGGGAGGTGAATTGTGAGATCCCACGTCGGTTGGAAAGGAGAACGAAATATTCCTTATAAGGGTGTGGAAACCTCTTCCTAGTAGATGCGTTTTAAAACCTTGAGGGAAAACCCAAAGAAGACATTACATTTATTTTTTATCGGACAAAAACCTATCACAAAGCTGTTACTTTCTCATTTCTTTTGTGTCAGATATTTGATGCAGCTGTTGGAGATATTGCAATTGTAACCAATCGCACAAAGGTCGTGGATTTTTCTCAGCCTTTTGCTTCTACTGGTCTTGTTATTGTGGCTCCAATAACAAATTCAAAGTCGAATGCTTGGGTGTTCCTCAAACCATTTACAGTCGAGATGTGGTGTGTTACGTCGGCCTCCTTCTTCATGATTGGAGCAGTCATATGGCTTCTCGAGCACCGAGTAAATGATGATTTCCGTGGTCCACCAAAGAGGCAGCTAGTGACAGTTATTCTGTAAGTTCTCTCAGTGTCTAAGACAGTTGCTTATAGATCAATAAGATATTCTCTTGCAGTAACGGATGCAGAATAATGTCTGAAATATTTCCATCTTGCAGGTTCAGCTTCTCAACATTGTTCAAAACAAATCGTAAGATATTTCTTTTTTACATCTGATTCTTTCATACTCTATGTTTGAGAAAATTTCTGAGTTCACAACTCAAATTACAGAGGAAGTTACAATAAGTCCACTTGGACGTATGGTAATGGTGATGTGGCTTTTCTTATTGATGGTTATCACGTCAAGCTACACAGCCAGTCTCACTTCAATCCTTACAGTACAGCAGCTTTCATCTCCCATTAAAGGACTTGAGGACTTGATTACTAAGGAACAGCCAATTGGGTACCAGGTAGGATCGTTCGCGTTTAGCTATCTAACCGAGAGTCTTTACCTTCCACAATCAAGGCTCGTACCCCTAGGTTCTCCAGAAGAATATGAATCAGCATTGCTTAAGGGGCCATTCAAGAAAGGAGGGGTGGCGGCCATTGTCGATGAACTTCCATATATGGAACTATTCTTATCAGGGAGGAACGATTTCGGAATTATCGGACAACCGTTCACCAAGAGTGGATGGGGATTTGTGAGTAGCCTTCTTTCACTTGAGCTATGGTAATCTTAAACTCTTTTCATGGAACTGTTGCACTTCGTTAATGCTATGCTTTGAACCAGGCTTTTCAGAGAGGATCTCCACTTGCGGTAGACATTTCAACTGCAATTCTAAAGCTTTCTGAGAATGGAAAGCTTCAGAAGATCCATGAGAAGTGGTTCTGCAAGATGGGTTGTCCTGGAGAGAGGAGAAGGAAATCTGAGCCTAACCAACTTCACTTGGTTAGCTTCTGGGGTCTATATCTGCTGTGCGGTGCCTTCTCACTCGTGTGTCTTTTTATATTTTTGTTTCGCATAGTTCGACAATTCGCTCGCTACATACGACAACAGAAGGAATCGTCTCATGCAGAATTGGTGTCATCAAATTCAAACTCGAACTGGACTCAGGTTGTATACAAGTTTATCGACTTTGTTGATGAGAAGGAAGAAGCCATCAAGAGACTTTTTTCGAAAGCATGATACTCAGAATCAGGCTAAATGATAGCTCGCTCTTTGATGTGGTTTGAAAATGCTTGAAGGTAAACCCCTGATAGCTCTTTGTGGTGTTCCATTGCTGCAAAGTGACCCATAATTTAGTGTTCATGTTAATAAGACTGCAACATTATGATTCTAATTACTCCCATATTTGGATGGTCAAATTATGTATGATGAGACAAGTATGATATTTATTATTGCTACAAGTGATTCTGTATGTATTTTTTTTTTTTTTTTGATAAAGTGGAGCTGGGGATTTTCATCGCTCCGCTGTTATATGATATGGATGTGAAATTTAAGACCTAATATTAGTTTTGATGGTGTTAGGAATCACGAATCTCTAAGATGGTATGATATTGTCCACCTTGAACATAAGTTTTTATGACATTGCTTTTGGTTTTCCGAAAAAGCCTTGTACTCATGGGTTTTGTATTTCTTACTTGTAAACCTACGATCTTCTCCTTAATTAGCCGATGTGGGACTACTCTCCTAACAATCCTCAACAAACCGATCTGTCTAAATCAAATCATAAAACAATTGAGTTAGGATCATAACATCATGCAACACAGTCTAATGATTTCTCTCTGTGGGTTGTAAGTGTAACTTTGTAGCTCAGAGTTTGGTATCCACACCTAAGTAAACGAGGGGTCCATCAATGAATTAAGGCCACATTATGAGTGAAGGAAGGGTTCATGACGACCACATGATCTTGAAAGTGATTGTTAAGAAAAACTAAATAGGAAGTTATTACTCCTACTAATAATATGCAACAGCTCAACCGAAGACATTGTAGTTTGGTAGTTTAGGACTCATGGAGAAAAGTTCTATATTTCACTAAGAATCTCCCATCGATTTATTATTATTTTTTTCACGTTGAACATGAGAAAAATTATAAAATGTCTATTTTAATCTTTAAACTTTTATTTTTAAATTCATTTTTGTCGTTACTATGTTAATTTTTTTACCTTAAATTCGCCTTACATAATATTCATGTCTAATTTAGTTGACTTGAAATCATACTCGTCTAATGTACTCATACACATCTTTAAATATATATATCATTAATTTGTTGAAATTAAAAATAAAAGTACAGATCATAATAGTTATTGTTTGAATTTTCAATATCTAAAATATTAAAGTAGACTTTTAATAAAAATGGATATTTTGAAAGTTCGTACACTAAAATTAAATATACTTAAAAAAAAAAAATCAAATTTTAACATATTAATCTCTTAAAGAAAAACTTAAATCCTCATTAATAAAAGGGCTAGATTTTCCGACAACAAAGAATTTGAATTTAATTTACACAATATTTTGGGTAGGCTTACATGTATTGCCTATTTTATTTTATTTTATTTTATTTCTGAAACTCTATTTTGCGTATATTATTAATTGTAATTCTTTTAGAACATTAATAATTGCAGCTACAATTTAGAGAATGTTTTTTCCTGTGAAAAATACAAAAATAGTATGCATTTAATTTAGATATTAATGAAGGATTAACAGTATTACATTATTAATTATAATAAATTTATCTCACGAAAATTATTATATAAAAAATACTCTTCGATTGTACTAAAAATAGAAAAAAAAAATGTTGAATTTTGATTCCAAATATATTCTTTTTAGGAATAATGATACTCCTTTTTTATTACCATAAAAATTTGAACCAAAGAAAAATATGTCGCTGACTAATAATAATAATCATACCATAATGGGTCCCACTTTTAAATCATTTTGAATTTTGATTTTGATTTTTTTTTTTAAATCTCATTTGATTTTCTATTTTATATTAAAAAAATGTATTATATATATAATATTTAGGACTTTATTTTAAAATAGATAATTTAAATTAGTAATGAATATCAAATCACCGTCCTTAAAATATTAAATATTTTATTTACTGAAGTATACATTTTATAAATGCTATGATCTTTTTTTATCTTTATAAGCTGTATTATTTTTATTAATTTATTAATTTTTGAAAGTATATATTTCTTTTTTGAAAAATAATATTATATTTATGGAAGATTTTAAACCTATGAATTTTTTAGAATTATTAAAATATTACCTCAAAATTTTAGGCTATTTATTTCAAACTCAGAGAATTATAAATGAGTAGGCCAACAAATTTAAAAAAATTACGAGAACTAAAGTAATAAATTACATTTTATCATCCTTTCAGATAATACTAATCGAATTGTATCGTCACGTCAAGTACAATAAATAATGTTTTTCAGAAGAGATATGAATTATAACGAACCGATCACGTGTTTAGATTAAAGTCTAATTTCGTGATCGACTTCACTTCCGGGAGTGTTGAATTATTATATGTATATATGATTAATTGAAAAGGAATGGGGGCAAGAAACGTGGGTGTCAAACAAAGTAGGGACTAGACAAAGAATTCTATTCCACCTTATTTTTCTTTTTCATCTTTTTCTTTTTCGTATTAGAGTGTCGATGGCGATGACAATGAAGTATGGTGCCTTTTGTTCTTTTTACTTGTCTAACTCTCCAACCTTAACCTTCGTATTTGGGAGTGTCGTTAATTGAAATCAATCTCATTAAAAGGGTTTTTTAAAAATATTATTTATTTATTTTTAGATGGTTAAAAAAAACTTAAAAGAATGGATAGTTATGTTGACTCGAAATTTTTCTAAAATAAATATGTGAATAAGAACAAAACAAAAAAAAAAATGTTGAATATATATATATAGTTTGAAGATACTCTTGTCAACACAATCACACTTTAATAACAGTGGACTTGCGATTGTGTTGTACTCAATTTCCAGTAACAAGTGAGTTAAGCCTATTCGTTCTTGTGTCGCCTATGACCAAGTGACATATACTCGAGCCTCTAACTCCGATTCAAGAATAAAGTTTTAGAAAACGGGGCAAAAAGATTTTAAAAGAAAGTTTTAAAAGTAAGATTTGAGAAATTGAAATTTATGTTACACGAAAATATAAACAAAAGACAACAGACAAGGGACAGGGAATAAGTGGAGACAAATCATCCACAAATCAGTCAATAAAAAAAAGGTTATAAAATCAGGATACTGAGAAAAGGGATGATATGTTGTTTAATGAGAAAGGAAAACTGTGTTCAAAAGGAATCTCATAAAAAAAAAAAAAATATGTAGTAAAAATCAATTCTTTCTCAAGGGAAACATTTTTTTTTTTAATAAATGTATAGAAACTTCTATTTATCATATGACTGATGACAATACATAACGGATAAAAATAGACAATATCTATTAGTGGTGGACTTTGACTGTTACAAATAGTATTAAAGCTAGACATTGAACACTGTGCCAACGAAGAACGTTGGACGTTGAAAGAAGTAAATTGTACATTTTTTATAAGGGTGTGAATATCGTGAGACTGACATCGAAAGTATGAGGTGGACTTTTAACCCATGTCAATAATCTTTTGTTACCGTATCTTCGTGATTTAATGATGGTTATTGTTATTGGATCAAAATGGAAGATTGGCAAAGTGAAAAAGCAGCAAAAACATTCTTCCAATGGAAGATTTAAACTTTTTATTCTTTTACCACAAGATTACATGCATGCTTGTTTCTCAAGGATTTTGACTGGATCTCTACTATTTCAGATACTTTGGCTGCTACCACAAGTAATTCAGACATTTGGGTAAACACGGGTAAATAAAAAACTACCTCATTCAAGTTTCACTATTTTCTTAATCAATCTATTCATATAAATAAAATAAAATGCAATAATAATAATAATAATAATAATTATTATTATTATTATAAATCATAGGATAATAGTATAATAGTATCATGTTACATAGTCACTTTGTTGATTGGATTTGAATAATTCACATCACCTAACATTATATGCTACAAATAGTATGTATCCTAACTAACATATTTGCACATAATGTACATAAATAACACGCCACCTGTTATTTTATTTCGTGTTCAAATAATATTTTAAATTCATCTTTAAAAAAACAGTTGTCTATACATATATCTAGTCCCATTCCAAACCGAGCAAAAAATGGAGGGAGAGGGAAGAGATTTATGTACGTACACTACTTGTGAATGTTTGATTAATCCACCACACCTAAATGGTGTGAAAGTTATCTTATTTATAATCAAATAAATTACAAGGATATGAAAATAGTAATAAATGAAAATAACAATAAATGGAAAGATACCTATGATAATAAGATAAATATTAGATATTTGTCTTATAATAAAATATCAAATATAATATATATGGTAAACTATAATTTAGTACTAAATATTCTTAACACTACTACATTGCTTTTATTGCTTTTAAGTTGTTGAAGAAATTTATTCATAAATTTTTTGGATTGAATTGGTTGAAGTTGTTGAAGAAATTTATTCATAAAAATAAAATATTAATTCCTAAAATATTTAAAAATTATTATTAAGATTATTTAAAAAAATTAAATTTATTTATTTGAAAACTAACCCGTTGAGTTGACCTGGTGTGGTCGAGAACAAAAGGTCGTGTGTAATTAATAGATTAAACAAATATAAAAATGGTAGGTCCGGGCCCACATCCTGCCATGTAACGTATCCATCCTCCAATACCATGGCGCACATTTTCTAAGCATGGCATGGATTGGTATGACATGTCATATCGCCCCCACCAATAATTAATTTCTTAAATTATATTTTAAAAAACTTATAATTTATAATAATTTAAAAATCTATCTGTAAGGGAGAAGTTTCCACGCTCTTATCTAATTCTAAAATTATTTTAAATTTAGTATACCATTAGATAATAAATTGAATGTAAACTAAATAATTAGAAATATATTGAAAAAGAAAAACACAAACCATAATTTACGGTATTGTAACAATATATCATAATTAGTTCTTAATGAAATTATTAGATCAACGATGTTTAACATCAATGAGTTGATGAGACATTATATGACTATATATATTAATGCGTACTGGACACCAACTTTGAATATGAAGTAAACTTGGACCACTAATAACCTCCTCTAATTATATATTTAGAAACTTATTTCATAGATGTTTCAAAACTACTTACAACTCAAGCTACAATTAGTATATACGGTCTATTTTGACGGTTAGTCTCACTACTGTTAGACAAAAATATTTTCAAAATTCAGATGAAATTAGGGTTTTTAAATAATTTGACGATGACTTCGAAAACAAATTTGGATCACGGCACGATGACTTTGAACTAAATATTTCTTTTTATAATTTTGTAAAAAAAAAAAAAAAATGCATGCAAAATATGCCAAATGGTACATGATACATTTATAACAAGGACGGATCAATAAATTGAATAATAAATGTGTATCAGAAAATTTTAAGAGAAGGGACAATAAAAGCTTGGCCCAAAATCATTTAATTCAATATTTTAATATTCTCCCAAATAATTTCATCGACGATATTTCACTCAAAATTCATAATAATATTGATTATTTATTTATTTGTGTGGCTATTTTAAAATAATAATCCATAAAAATTCATATTTATATTTACACTATCTCAATTATTCAATTTTATTAGTTTATTTGCATATGTGAAAAGTAAGGAATATTATCAAATAATTATATTGGAAGGAATAAAGGTATCTTCAGTATTAATTTAATCATATAAATTAAGATACCCAATTGAGGGCATATTTAAGTCTCTGCAATCATTAAAATAATTAAATAATACTCCTAAGTTAACATAATATATAATATGTGACACTCAAATCAAAGAATCAGGCCAAAGATTCTAAAATATTTTTACTATAAAGTAAATAGTATGCCTATGGTAATTAATTTATTTATTGAAAATAAGATAATTCTTTTTTTATATATTAATAAAGTAGGAGTTAATTAAACCTTTTATTAAAAAGAAATTAAAAATTAATAAAAGTACCTCACATGTAGGACACCTACTAAATGGGATTAAGGCTGCCATTGACCCAAATATTTAATATTAATTTTCGCATTAAAATGTGTTTATTATTATTATTGTTACTAATGAGGATGGAATTTTTTATCCAAATTGGCTACGATTGATGAGAAAGGCGGCTATGTTAAGCTTAATTTTATAGAGGGGGAAGTGAAAGAAGGAGCGGAAAGTTGGGGTGTGAGAATAATTCTTTTCTTGAGATGGCAACACTGTTGTGAGAGATTGTGAATTCTGTTTCTTCGCAAAGAGTGAAGAGTATAAGAACCAGAAGTTGAAGTTGTCCTTTTCCCATTTTTGAGCTCTTTTCTCAACTCCAATCCATTTCTTCCGAAGTTCCATCTCCAATTTCATGAACTTCAAGCCTTCAGGTAATTCTCAGCTCTTTGGGTAATTTGTTTTTGATGAATCAACCTGTTTTTTGCTTAAGATTTCTGGAATTGATTGTGGTTTTAGTGTCATTGGTAATGGGGGTTTTGTTGGTAATGCTTAGAAATCTTTGATGCTACTGAGTATTAATTGCTTGATTGAGTGTGGTATGAGATAGCCCCAAGTGGGTATTGATTTTTCTGAGGCTGGTTTTGTTTGGCTAGGCTTGGGACTTCTATTTCATTTGTTCTTCGTTTGTTGTGAAGTTATTGTTTAATCTCATTTTTCTTTTCAGGAGCTTTGGATTTTTGCTGTAATGAAAGGGGAATTTTAAGATGCTGATGATGGTTTGTAGAGTTCATCTCCAGCTGGGATTGTTTAGAGGGGTTTGATATCCTCAATAGGTGGTGGTTAGGTAATCAATTTGTTCAGTTTTCTTGGAGCAATGAAGGTGTTTTGGATTAGGAGTGGCCATTGGGTCAGAACCATAGCTTTGATCTTTGCATTGTTCTTTGAGATATGGATGCCTTTGGGAGTGATTGGTATTGGTGTCTCTCAAAACACAAACGTTTCTTCTTTGAATCCGAGGGTGTTGAAAGTTGGAGTTCTGTTCACTCTTGATTCAGTCATTGGAAGGTCGGCACAGCCTGCGATTTTAGCTGCCGTGGACGATGTCAATGCCGATAACAGTGTTCTTCCTGGAACAAAGCTGAAGTTGATCTTACACGACACGAACTGCAGTGGATTTCTTGGAACAGTGGAAGGTACTGCCCAAACTTTGGAGAGAACTCTATATATAATCCTCTTTACTACATTTGATTCAATTGGATGTAGAACGAGAAGCATGAATTGCATTATCTTGGAACTTGAGTTTGGTTCATATGTCAAATGGTTTCTCTTCTATCTGTGGTAGCAATTTCTTATTTTGGTGAATTGTTTGATAGTTTAGGCATCAAGGGTAGAAAATGATTCTGGATTCTCAAGAATGCATAGCTTGAGCTGACGTGCTTGTCTAATTTCCACTTTGATTCTCATCCTATCGTCTGGAATTAGCTTCATTTACTTGCATTACGAAGCATATCCACTATTATATTCCATATCACTGTTCTATTAGCTTAGATTTTTTTGGAAGGTTGAGAGATTTGTGCAAAGTTTTGGGATATTGTTAGATTCAATAGCTCTTTTTGAGCATAGTGTAACAACCCACTACCAGATATTGTCCGCTTTGGAGTTTCCCTTAAGATTTTAAAATGTGTTTTCTAGGGAGAGGTTTCCACACCCTTATAAAGAAGGTTTCATTCTCCTCCCCAACTGATGTGGGGTCTCAAGATTCACCCCCCTTTGGGGCCTAGTGTTCTCGTCGACACTTGTTCCCTTCTCCAATCGATGTGCGAC